AAAAATGAGAAATAAAAAAAAACAATTGAGAGTCGTTATTTTGACTTTTTTCAGTAAAATAACATTTTTTTAAATGGAAACCCCTGTATATTATATTTTTTTCTGTTAAAGCATCAAATTTTAAACAAAAAAGTTCATAATGACTTTTCCGCTAAAGTCAAAAATAAAGTCAAAATAACGATAAATATTTTTAATTATTTGCAGTATTATAATATTAAGACGGCTATGAAAACAACATGGCGTTCGCGATTTGACAGCATTAAGATAGGCGACAAATTGTTAAACTGGACATACTCGCAACTAGAAGGCTTTGGAAAAATCAAATAATGTCAAACATTAGTGTAAATACTTGTTTATAAGCTTTATTGTGTCATTAATTTAAAGAAAAATGTTCTCCCATGAAGAAAAGTGTGATATGTTAGAATGCTATTTAGTGTGCAGAAAATCCTCCTTGAGAGCAAGAGAATAAATACTACAGTGAATTATATCCCGCTCGCATTCAACCGTATGAACGATATTTTCTGAGACTTTATCGAAAATTTAGAGGCAACGAAAATGTTATTGCTAAAACAAGGGCAAAAAAAGAATTCATAATAAGCGAGGCCACGGAAATTGCAGTTATTGGATATTTTGAAGCTTATCGTGAGAATTCAATAGCAGATATTCTCAAGGACTCTAATTTCAGTTATGGTACTGTTCAAAGGATTTTAAAAAAATACAAATTTATTCCGTATAAGTACCGACCAGTTCAAACGCTTTTGGCAGGGGATCCAGAGAGAAGACTTGTTTTTTGCCATTGGTGTCTTAGCTTCTGTCGCCAAAATGTAAATAACTTTCGTTACCTTTTATGAACAGATGAATCAAATTTTTCAAATTCTGGAATGTTTAATAGAAAAAACCACCATTATTGGTCAAGAGAAAATCTTTTGTTAGTACATCCAAGAGGCCCACAAGTCCGTTTCAGTTTCAACGTTTGGTGCGGTATAATTGGTTCAAAAATTGTTGGCCCGTTCTTTTATGAGGGAACCCTAACTGGTGAAAGATATGTGGAATTTATGTCAGAAATTCTGACTAATTTCTTAGACGAATTGGATCTTATAAGTAGACATCATCTGCATTTTCAGCAAGATGGCGCACCTGCCCACAACTCCAGAGGTACTTATCATTTTCTAAGTACTACTTTTAATGATCAGTGGATAGGAACAAATGGCCCAATACAGTGGCCTCCCAGATCACCAGATCTAAACCCACTTGATTATTTCTTGTGGGGTTACTTAAAGAACCAAATTTACAAGCGAAGGTACGATAACCTTGACGCGTTAAAGACTGCAGTTAGGGAAAAGATAACCCAGATAGATGGTAGGACCATACTTAAGACAGTTCGAGCAGTTGAAAAACGTGCCCAAAAATGTATTGAAGAACAAGGTGGTGTTTTCGAGCATCTTCTTTAAAAAAAATTGTTATTGTATTTTGTAAGATTATAAGTTGATGTTGGAAAATAAAGTTTGTCGATACAATTTAATTGTTTCAGATTGGAGGCCATAACTTCAACAATTTGTAACCTAGGAGAAAAGTTATTGTAAGCTTTTTTGTTTAAAATTTGATGCTTTAACAGAAAAAAATAATATACAGGGGTTTCCATTTAAAAAAATGTTATTTTACTGAAAAAATCAAAATAACGACTCTCAATTGTTTTTTTTTATTTCTCATTTTACCAGCGTTAAAAATGCTACTAGTTTGCTAATTCAAACAACTTTGTATTTTCACTAACAACAAAGTTACTAATGGTGGACACTTAATTTGGATAACCCTGTATAATAAATTTAACTGTAGCAAACACAAATAAGGCAGTCTTTCTAAGGTTCAAGCGCATAGCCAAGTTGAAATTACCAAAAATTAGTAGATACCCCGAGTGGCTGATTCCTTTTTCATCCGGAATAAATTAACGGAATCGCATTATTTTAATTCAGGGTAAAATGCGAGATATCCTCGGCAAAGTTGTAATTGCTAAATTCGACGTAACGGCAGCGCAGGCGAGGGAGTGCTTCGGCATGCGCGAGAATTAAAGATGCGTTAAGTCCAATTTCGTTCATTAGACCCAATCTGCATTCACCCTCCGAGACGCTCCGTTGCTCCACGAAGGCCTCTCTTCTTTCCCAACAACTAGCATTTTTATGAGCCAAATAAATTTGTTTAATTGTTCGCCCTCCTCTTTTCCCCTTGAACGCTTTTGGTTTCTTCGGGATTAACGGCCTTGAATAGAATCTGTTTGCTTTTTGTCTCTGCGACAACAACCAACCATATAAAATGTTGTTTTATGCTTTCTTGCAATCATCAGAATGGTATAGGTTGAGTCAAATTGAGACGGAGGACGGAAAGCAAACAAGATAATATGGGTATATTTAAAAGCTCAATGTTGTAATGTAAATGTATCGGATAGAACGTTAATGCTAGTACCATGCTTTTTTTTATATCGAAACAGCCGCGCAGGCAGAAGCCTAAATGCCGGAACATCGCGGCTGCTATGATGATCCCAAAGAAATTTTGTTAATACGATTTTTGAACTGCCTAAGGTTAGTAGAACTGGGAAAAGCTTCCTCCCGTAGATTGTTCCACAATCTAGACACCCTCGAGACAAAGGAGCGGTCGTATCGGCCAGTTCTGGATGTACGAAGTTTGACACGGTTAGGATGGGTCGAAGAAGTCAGGCGGGTCTGTCTGGCAGGCACATCGCGCGGCGGCATCATAGAAGAGAGCTCTGAGGAGCAAAGCCCGTTGGTGTAGCGATAGAAAAGAGCTAGATCGCCGACGGCCCGCCGGTGCGAAAGAGTCCCGAGACTGTCTCTTAGGGAAGAGTCATCGATCAGTCGGACCGCCCTCCTCTGGACAGCATCGAGCATGGACAATGTAGTCGGGGCGGCAGCACCCCAAATGTGTGAGCAATACTCGAGGCTAGGCCTTATCTGGGCGTTGTATAGAGTGAGAAGGTCATGCGGAGAAAAGTACTTCTTGGCCCTAAACAAATAGCCTAGCTTTTTCCCAGCAGCTGCAGCTATTGAAGAGATGTGTTCGTGCCAGATCAGGTCCTCGGTGATCTGGACTCCGACCAGCCGAAATGAATGGCTCTTTGGTAGAACTCGACCGTCCATCGAAACTGTATGAGCGCTAGGACGCTTTTTGTTCGTCAAAGTACAGTACTGTGTTTTGGAAGCATTGAACTGTACAAGATTGTTGCGTCCCCAAGCAGTGATAGCCTCCAGGTCTCTTGTCAGAGAAGAAGTCGTCGCTAGTCTTCTTTTTTCCAGCTCAGCGGCAGAGATCGGCTTGTCACTCTGAATTCCTGCATGTAGAGTGCTGTCATCAGCGAAGCTGTGGATTGGGTTGATCGTGCAGGAAAGGAGGTCGTTGATATGTAAGAGAAACAGTGTTGGAGCCAAGACCGATCCCTGGGGAACACCCGCGTTGACGTTGTGGGATGAAGAGGAGAATCCGTCAATTACGACGGATATCTTGCGGCCAGAGATAAAGTCAGCCACCCATCTGCAAAGCTTTTCTGGGAGGCCGTAGGATGGAAGTTTGCTTAAGAGGGCAGCGTGCCACAGCTGATCGAACGCTTTCGTGATGTCAAGAGCAACGACATGAGCCTCACCATTAGACTGGATGAGTTTACTCCACAGTTGCGTGACGTAAGCTAGGAGGTCCCCTGTGGATCGTTGGTGCCGGAAACCGTACTGCCTGTCGCTAATCAAGCTGTGACGTTCGAGGTAGTCCAGAAGCTCGCGATTTATGCACCTCTCCATCACTTTACTTATAACAGAAAGCAGAGCTATAGACCTGTAGTTGTAAGGGCCGGTTTTAGATCCTTTTTTTGGGATGGGCTGTACATGAGCAAATTCCCAGTTTTCTGGGAAGGTGCCGGATTCATAAGATATCTGGAAGAGACGCGAAAGAACTGGAGCAAGCTCCGCTGCACATCTCTTCAGTACAATGGCAGGAATCAAGTCCGGACCAGAAGCTTTGTTGATGTCGAGCGACAAGAGCACTCGTCTTACGGTCTTATGCCTGAATGTTACCTCCCGCATAGTGTGGGGAACCCTTTGAATTGACGGCACTTGGGCGTTGGTGGGGACGTCCATGGTGGAGTTGGCAGCAAAGATCTTGGCTAGCACTTCCGCCTTGGCCTTTGAGTCGAATACAATAGTTCCATCCTGACACGTAAGTGGTGGAAGGCTACTGTGTGAGAAGTTCTTTTCAATCTGCTTGGCCAGCGTCCAGAAAGACCGACTGCCATTGCGCTGCGACATTACCCTGTGCCTAACTTTTATATCATGCTGGTTTTTGGCATTGCGAACCGCTTCGTTATATTTGTTTCTGGACTCGACGTCGGCTTGTCTGTTCTCTACAGTGGGGTTTTGTAAGTAGGTTCTGTGGGCCTTGATCTTCTGCTGGCGAGCAGTGTCACACGATTCGTTGAACCAGCCGTTGGACCCTGGTTTAGGAACTTTCACTGTGTGAGGGATGTATTCCTCCATTCCGACGTGGATAATTTCGGTTATTGAAGAACAGACAGTCGACGCATCCGCGTCAGTGAAACAGACATCTCTCCAAGGAAAGCTAGAGAAGAAGTCTCTGAGCCCCTCCCAAGAGGGGGGAGGGGGGGGAGTACTTATTAAACACCTAAGTGACAGCGAGACACATATATGTTAGATGTCCTTGTCAGGCTTCGTCAAAGTAAACACCGTCATTCAGAGATACCGGGAAACGACTTCCTGCTACTGCCGTTACCTGTGGCCGGTAGTACCGTGATTGGCGAAGCTACCGATTGGTGGTGCATCACCTTTATTTTTCACATTATAGGTCTTGCAGTCTAGCAAACACTTTGAATAGAGAAGTGTTGAATTGCAAGCTAGGTGATATATTGGTGATCAGGAATTTAGGGCAAAACCAGGATGCTTGACCCGTTTTCCACATAAGAGCACATGTGGAATAAATGTATTGCCATGATCAAATTGGATTCTGAAGGCAGTCAGCAAACTATACTTTACTTAAAGACTTATGTGGATACCTTGCACAGTCTCTGCGCAGTTGACATTTTTGTTGGACATGACATTTGTCTGATATCTCCAGAGTGCACTGAGAGATACTACCTCAGGTATAAGTAATCAAAGACCATTATAATAATTAACATCGTTGATTAGAAAATAACAGTTGGCAAACTTTAAGTCCATTTTCTTAATAGACTTCGTTTCGTCAACATCGTCCAGCGCATTCCTTATTGTGAATACATCGATTTTGTTTTCCTTTCATTGTTCTGTTTGTAATTGTACTTGAAAGGCATTTTCGTTGGTTGTTCTGAAAAAAAATGATATTTTGATATGCATTTGTATATTATATAAATTTTATTTTAAGAGCTTAATTTAAAAAATTACCGCAAAGATATTCCCAAACAATTGTATTTGTAAAACTATCGAAGACATTGTCCCACATTCTGAACATTCATTCTACCCAAGCTTTAAGAACCCTAATAGTGACATCAGTAGATATTCGACTTCAAATTTTTTTTTAAAGTTCCCGGTGCCATATACTGCTTTGATCTTTTTTTCTCGGTTGCTCAGTCATTAGAACACCGCCTAGAATGGACAAATTTAGTGTTGCTGTTCCTGTAAGTACGAATAAGCCACTCAACTGTTTAAGTACCATTGTCCAGTAGTTTTACAGTCACCAGTGAATGACCATCAAATTGTTTGAATGATTTTATACCTACGGTTTAACTTTTTCAACCCTCTTTTGCCATTTTACTTTTACATTTTGTGTAAATACCTACGTATAGGTACATAATTTGCAAGCTAGATGATAAAAATATGAGAATATTTCCAGTAGGTATTAAGAACTATTTTTAAATAGACAGACGCAAAGTAGGTAGATAGGTACATCCTACATGAATTTTCCGACACTGGAAATATTTTTAATTTTTTTGCTGTCATGTGTTTTCTGATTTTTCTTTTGTTTGTTACTGTTTAATCCTTCTTGTATCTTTCTTCTTATTTCCCTTATTTTTTCTAGTCTGAGTGATTTGTTACTTTGATGTCGCCTACCTCGCTCCCGTGTACCTCCTGACGCCGTTTAAAATTACGTTTATATCAATAATCACCTTGGAATATCAAAATACAATTAGCTGTTCAATTATTGAGTGGCCAATGTGCTGCAGATTGCATAAGTAGTTGAACTCCTGTAACCCATCAAATAATGACCCCTTCAGTGAATGAACCGGTATTTAAACACCGAAGAACTACCCTTTACTGATCCCATCGTCCACTAGACGTCCACACTAGATGTTGTTAACAATATGACGTGTATTCCATTTATCATGTGAAATTTTTATCACAGTTTAACAAAATGATGTAGGATGAAAAAAATAATTTTTAATTCATCATTACCTTCTCGATATAAGATCGACGTCTTTGAAAACATATGGATCTAGTGGATGTTACTGCAAGTAAAAATAACAAAGAAACACAAGTAGTTTTGCTGAAACGCAGTTTAAAAACAAAGGACAGTCATGGACATGTCCGAAATAAAGGAATAGGAACAGAAATAGAAGGATTGATTGGTTGATACTCCGTAAACACGAGGTCTTCTGAGCGAAGCCACAAATATGCCTGCTGACTCTTGTTGGCAGCTCCTAGTTGTATTTCCCTTTCCATCCTTTTTTTTTCTTCAGGTTACACCCGTAGATGTGACGGACATATGTTTTCAATGTACATTCATTTGACCCAGATGAAGCCAATAAGCAGACACATGCGGCGCTTGGGTTACCAAACCTTCCATTTCTGCCCATGTTCCTTTATTGCAGACATGCTCAGGAATATCCCTTGTTAATAAAAGTAGCCAAAATACCAAAAGAAATCATTGGATGTCTTTACAGGCGAGTATTTGTCTAATTATCCTTTCAACTACTGGTGCCACCACCTTATTGGGCAAAAATCTGATTCCTTCCCATACATTTAATTTTAATACACTGCTCCACAAACTTATGCTGATCCATGACTAAGTCTGATTACACTGGTAGTTCATTTTGTTTTTTCCTAGCCGGGAAGCGATTAGGTCCTTCTGATGTTTACCCGATATATGGATATCGCTCCATGACGATTTCCATGAACTTATAATTGAATTGAGCATGAAATTCTCGCTTCGAAGTGCGTCATTTCCTCGCTTCCAATTCAGATCGCATCGCTCGCCGACATTCCTCATCCGCATCCGGGAATCGTCTGCGGGAATCTTCCCGCATCCCAATCGACTCCGGCGCTCCCGTCTGCCCGGAAGCTGCACCAGCGTCTCGACTGCCACCTTTCCCACTCCACTATCAGAGGGCGCTAGCGGTGGGGGAGTGACGGCGCGCTGCTATTGGTCCGTTAGCTCACGCCCCCGGGCCTAGTCCTTGGTCCCGAGAGGCGGAGCAACCCCTGGGAGGCCGACCGGGGCCCAGCGACGGGTCCCCGCAGTCGAACGGCGACCCCCCAGCGTTCGCTACGTCAGTGCGTTGCCGCGCGTCTCGCGAGATTTTGCAAGTGCATCCGCTGTGCAGGTGCTTAGGACTTTAGTGCAAATGATGATGAAGGGACTGCTGTGCCAAGGAACAATCGAGGTTGGCGCCATCTCTTAAGATACTTGGTTGGTAAGTGCACAAGTGGTGTGGAAGCTACCTTTAATTTAAAAGATATAATTATGACTTGAAGAGCCAGATATGAATGCACAAACCTGTGGATCGGCGCACGTGTTGGTTTATATTGTTAACAGCCATGGCATTGCTGAGCGTAGGAAAAAAGTTATGGAAATCAAGTTTAAGTTTATTACCTTTTTCTGCATTTATGAGATTCTAATTTTTCCCGTCATTAGAAATGCCAAACACTCAAATGTTTGTGAAAAAATATTGGTAAAAATTAAAAAAAATAAATATATTTACAAGATAGGCACACAAAAACTTATTGCCAGATATGTTAGTGCAGATGCTTTCATAGTTTCTAGATGCCATTTCCGAAACAAATATTACAAAAAATTGTACCTCTATCAGGCGAAATTGAACATGAAATGATTAAATAAAAACCTATTAAACGCCGTTTTAGTGTTTATAAGTATAAAATATTTTATAGGCATTAGTCGAAAATATTTCTATTTATACCTATACAAAAACATCTTATTAAATATATTACTGATTATGTTTTCATACTGTTTAACAGTTATTACAAAACAAATTTAAGAACATTTCTGCTTCAATCAGAAGCTGAACAAAATATAAATGAAGCATGAGATGGATGAGGTTTCAGTGTTTGTAATAAAAAATATTTTATTTTCTTCACTTCACTGAAAATTTGGTATTGGAGATGTTTCCACAGCTTTTCGATGATAAAGACGTACTTATTTAAAATCGATATCCACATGTCCTGAAGAATTATAAAAAATATAAAACAATTCCAAAAATTAAAATCCCAAAATAATATTGCCCTTCTATCAGGACAAATTCCCCAGAATGTATGCGAAATATGAGTTAAATGAAAATTTATAGAATGTCATTTTATTGTTCATAACAAGAAAAACCGATGAGCCGAAAATTCTCTTTGGATCCCTGGACTAACCCTAATATTTGATTCCCTACACGTAAACGCTCGTGATGTCTGGCATAGTGCTCTAGTTCTAATATAAACACAAAGCTGCACATTTTTTAATCCTATGAAATAATGTGTCATGCTGTAACAAAAAAAAATGCAGATGGCTATAGAAATGCACAATCATAATTTGTAAGTAACTAGAATATATCCGAAAATATATGTAATTTTTAGTGTTGGCGATGAGTATTAGATAGCGCTTTTTCTCTGTATGTTTATCAACGACTATACCCTGAACTTTTAGGGTAAATATATCTAAGTAACAATTGCCAAGATACTCTTGCCTATGGGTATGGATGACAAAAAAATTAAATATAACTATATTTTGAAAGATTGGGCTGTTTTGAAATTACAGTAATGAATGGATAAGCTATGGTAATACTCGTCACTCAAATGTAAAAATAGAAATATCGCTATTTGAAAAAATACTAAAATGGATTCACAATTCAGAGAATGTTAATCCTACCCCTAAGCAGCATCAAAGGTCTACCTTGGTTATCCGATGTTCCTTCAATAAGCATGTTATACTCATTATCAGCATCAATTGATAAATAGTATTCACAATGAGTAAGAGTCGCCACGGCACGGCAATAATTTAATTCTCCAGCCTATGATTATCCCTGTCTAACCGATATATATATATATTAGAAATGTCCCACATTTTCATGACAGATCATTGCATGAATAAGAAGGCTGATGTTAAGCAGCTTAGTGTCATTTATTCCTACCTGTTGAATTGCGAAAAGTTAGAACGGCTACATAATCCCAGCCGATCTAACGTGGTACCAAAATTAAAATACATTTCCAATTGGTTATTCTGTTAATTGAAACATTTCACTCACGCAAGTAATAAAAAAAAATAATATAAATTCACACAACCCATCTTTTCAAGCGTGTATCACTATCTTACACTCGTACACTCATATGAACTACTTACACCTTTTTCCAGCACAAATTCAATTCAGCACTTTGGTAATCAGGATGAGGTTTTACCGAGCGTCCCTCGTATATATTATACCCGAATTTGACAATGATGTTTCACATTCACATTCCGTCGCAACAATCGTCATCTGTCGACGCATCATCTTTCCGTTACGTCCATCTTCTCCACGTGAAACGGATGTAGGGGGTTAGAAACGACGTTCCGGTTTTGTCCCCAAAATTACTTCTCGTTGATAATTTTTAATATGTTCGAGTGTATTGATTTATAGTGTTAACACCTAACGATGGTATCTGTCGTTATCAATAAGCCCAATGTGTCCGTCCGGTTGGTTTTATACTTGTAACTAATGCTCTCATCCCCGCGTTCGTTGTGAAACCCCATTTGGCTGCAACCCCAACGACGAATAAGTTGTTTGACAATTTAAATCTTTCCCGTATTGGTTGCTAGCATCATAATTGTGTTTTCAGCTCCTGATGAAGGCTCCATAGCGAATTGCCGAAAGCTAAAGATTACCGTCAAAAGAGTTAACTAAAGCCTAAAAAGTGCCAATTTCTCAATAAACAATAATATTAATAAATAAATTGTATTTTAGCCCAACTGGTCGTTGGCAATGGCAATGACTACTGCTCATATACGCGTATATATGAACGGATCAGCAACTTTATATTTGTAGCATACTGTATGTATATTTTACAAAAAAAAAATTATCGTGAAATACTAGCAAATAATTCATAAATTGACATTCGCCCCAATGTGAAACATTTCAAGGCACAAGACGTCATGTAATATTTTCTGAAAATTGCTTTTTTGCCATTAAATCAACCTTAAGGAGTGATTCTTTGATTCTGATTACTGTGTTGCAAAAACAAGTTAGTCACAAACTAATTATTTAAAATTTCAATATTTAAAATTTCAATAAATCAATAACTTCCCTTAAAAATGTTTGAAGTCAATTTTATCTATACAATGATTTTATTATATGACACCTTTATCCACTTATGTTTTCATTTGTATTTGATTTCACCTCATATTTTTATTACATATTTATTTATTTTATTCTTATACCACAGTGGATGAAACAGATTCTTCTTTGGCTTTGCCGGTTTCAACATACATATTTCCCTCGGTAGCTTGATACTTTTCTAGCTTGATGTTTTTCTGGGGACTGATTTTGGAGTTCAATTAGGTGCTCTCTGTGTACACCTATCTCTATGCTTACGTTTCTATATTTTTTGTTATATTGACAAAATGATGCCCTTATGCGGTTCTCTCTAAGTCTTAAATCAATTTTGTACTTTTTGCTTTGTTGTCTTAGTTTGTCATTTAACTTCAGATTTTTTACTCATAGCCTGCAGCAATTGCATTGTCTATGCATTTCTATTAATGAAATGGTCAATCATATGCATTTCCGTTGTATTTTTCGGAATTTAGTCAGACCACCATTCAACAACAAATTTATATTGCCAAACAACTAGAAAGGAGAATACATTGGCACGGGTATCATGTATCTTCAAAAGTGACGTTATATCGATTTTTTGACATTATACTGTTTTTTTTTTGACATTATGTAGGTTTTTCTACAAGATGTTAACTTAGCACTTAGTGGTTCGTGTTCCCTAACCATCATGAAGCTTTAGTTATTAATGTTTGGTTCTGGTGTGATGTAAAATCTGCTGCAGAGATGGCATTACTGGAGGTCTAAGCTGTAAGTTGTATGGGTTGATGATAATTCTTTTGAATTCTCGTCTCAAATATACTTAATTGAGATTCAAATTAGTTGCGCAGCCACTTTTTTTATCCATTCTGGAGATTATATACACAAATTTGCAGAATTTAAAAAATGAGAGATAAGAAGTAATTATATTCATTGTACACTGTCGAAGTACAAGCCATAGGCATGCTAACAGTAACAACAACGCGGTCGCGGTGATGATTTCCCGTAATTCAACTCAGTTCTTTCGTAATTTATAACTTTAAACATAACCTCTCTTCAGAAAGCACAACATAAATAACCCGTCATATTCAGCAGATTCCGTAATGATTTTCTCACACAAAAAATATCACTGATTTTATATGCATGCAGACCAATACACATAATCGTCCAGATGCTATTCAACCAACTTTCTTCTCAGAGATAAAAACTACAGACATGGACCACTCAGCCACATAAAACATATGCAACCAATAATGCGTGTAGTTTAGTCGAATGATTCCTGCATAGATGGACGTTCATAACGATCCTAGTGAGAAAACGTGGAATTACTGTTTGCGCCCTAAAAACTGCCTATTCTGCGAATTGACATCTTATAGGTTTTATACATGATTCCCGTGACGAGAGTCATATTAAGGGACAGGAGTGTTGGAAAAGTTGACAAATCGCTGAAATTTACATTTCTTTCCGGACCATCAAACTTTGAGCGCATCTTCAGACTGAACTATTCCATCTGGGACTCTGAAATTTTACACGGCATCATGCCTCTATAGGTACTCTACACAAAAGAAGCCTGAGCTGAAGGATGCTTTTCAGTATCTCGAAAATGGCCAATCTTCGTCCAAAATACCGAAAATTGGCTCCAGAGGACCCTTCCATTAATACAAAGGCTACAGAATAGAATTTATTTCACAAAGAGCGTCGGGATGGTCGTTCTCCTTTTGTTTCAGTAGACTAGTTGCCAGCCCAATGAAACTGTAACAAATTTCAAGACAATCACTTTTGATTGGAGTATCTACGAAAAGATACCACACTTAACAGTCATATGTTATGGAGTCATATGTTTAATGAAAAAAGAAAAAGGAAAACTCCAAAAATTTGACGCGACTTCAAACGAAAGTGATCAACCTAGGACCTTGTTTGTACTTTCCAAAAAAGCTAATCCTAATCTAAGATATACCCTACCAAGCCAGGTCGTTGAGTTTTACATTTGAGCCTATCGCTTAGCGCAGTGCTACTTGAAAACGTTTGTTTACTTCCTACGCCGCTGGGCGAGGAAATATTGTAATCGTGAAAAATTTCTAAAACAGATATATTGTGTTTCTGAGATGTTATATGACATGTACATCAGGAAAAACCATGTCACTAATTTCTCTACTGTACATGTCTGAAACTAATCTTTTAGGAATGCGAAAGCCTTTCGCGGCCATCATCCAATACTATTTGGTTGGTTTTTGGGTTGTTAGGCTATCGTAAAATATTTTTTACTTAATGTTTCGCCAACACGAGTGGTTGGCATCTTCAGAATATGTCCACAGTTTGGAGTCCTGTGAGCTACTACTCCGTAGTCAAAAGAATAATACTAATCTTTTCATCGGAACGTTTAACTTGTGCTGAACTTAATCCTGTATGAACTGATCACGGAGTGGCGTACGAAGTATAGAGTCAACCTATTTGTTATTATTTTCCATTCTCTGTTACTACCGACATTACATACTTATATATCTTTGTCATGTCCACTATCTGATAAACCATTTTCTGCTGCAGGTCCTCAACGACAAACAGCATATCGCACCCTTCCAACTCTGTAATAAATCGCAAGCAAAACGAGGTCGGACGGCGAAGTGCCGGTAGTACCGGCCGGTGAGCGGAACGGTGGCGGCGGAGCGGGCGGTACCGGGTACCACCACCATCCGGCGACGGCGTCCCCGACCGCGACGGTCGCCGCGGCGGCAGCGGCAGCAACGGCAGCCGCCGGCGGCTGGCCCCCAGGACTCAGCTTGGAGTTGGATCCTGTGGCGGCAGCCTGGGGGAGGAAGCTCTATCCAGGTATGGAATTATTATCTAACTTCACTGTACTATTTTACTTTACAACGAAAAGCCTAGGGAAAAGTAATCTAAACCGGAACCAAAGGCCTTTCATTTTTTCCGAAGCTGTGATTTGCACATGACTACTCGTCCACAGAGCTGTAGTGGTATAAAATATATGTATAACGAATTTTGAAAAGGTTGGATTATATTCAGGGACTGTATACTTTGACCACTTTTATGAAAATAGGAATAATACGAAATTCTCAATACTAGCAGACTATTAGTATTGTTCAATTTCATTGCAGTACTATTTTACTTATTAACAAAAAACCTGGAGAAAGGTATCCTAAAGCGGAACATAAGGTTTAATTTTTCTTGAAGTTGTGATTTTCACATGACTTTGATCATCCGTTGTGGTACAAAAGTTGTATATGCCAAAAATCGAGAGGATTGGATTGTAGATAAACATTGTTCACTTTTATAAAAGTGGAAATAATACGAAGCTCTAAATATTAACAGACATTATTATTATATCATCTAGTCCTCGGACATCAGATAGTACTGGACGTCAAGGTAGTAAACTGGTCTCAACTTAATTAATTATTTGCATCAATGATATTATATAAGTTTCACCTATACAGATGATATAACCATTTTGATAACCTAAGAACGTCTGACATACGAATCTTGATAACAACACAAATAAACCATATTCAACATACAAAGAACGTGCTGTGTCCTACCTAAGGTAAGCCACGCCACCACAGAGCACCTCGAATCGATAAAACTCTATGTGTTAAAAGTGATACAAACTTCTTGGCTTAATTTCATCCTACACCTGAACCCAGAATGTTTCATATTTTCCGAAGCTGTGATTTTCACATCACTTTGCTTAAGTATTGTTTTTGTAGTTCATCTCCGAACGTTTCGTTAAACATTTAAACAACTCATGCATTTTCCTTCAAAAATTAAATTTTTGACTCGAATCACTTCAGTTCCTTGCGTTGGTTTGGTTTACAAACTTTGTATTACGATTTTTTCACCTTCCTCAATAATACGTTTCAAAAAAGCCAATACCACATTTGTGTCTGACAGATACCATAAGCATCTTTTGGCACCTGTGACAGCACTTTTTTGACGTCTTCGTCTTGAAACTGAAGCATAAATCTAGGTCATTCTTTGGAATCCATCGATTTACTGTTGCCTCGTGCCAAAGGCTAACAGATACAGGGTGTTTCAGAAAAATCTGTCAATATTTCTACAGCAAAAGGAACACCCAAATACAGGCTCCGTCAGAAAGAACGCATGTTCTTTAAATGACTAGTACAGTCAAAATAAGGGTAAGACTATACTTTAGCGCATATCGCAATTACTTCATTTCTTACTTTAAAATTAATGCTTAGGAAGTAACTTTTACGAAAATATCATATTTTTGGTGGCAATACTCTAGAATAGAATACTGTTTTATATGCTGTCTTTTTTGCTTTTTGTACAAAAAGATGCTCTAAATTATAATAATATAACATACACTGTATAGTACTAAGGAAAATAGATATGAAACTGTAAAAAATCGTTGTTTTTTGTAAAAGACGGTTCAAAAACAGACGTGTTATTACACATTAGCTTGTTAGCTTAAATAGCAGATCAAAATACATACGCAAATGGTGGTATTTACTTGGCGAACGTGTTGTTTTGTGATTTTCCAATGTCCTCTTGAAATTCATTACCATTTTTTTCGCGTATTTTAATTCTCAATGGCCATTTTATAACGCTCATTTATTGACAGATAAGATAAATGATGTTCATTGTTGCCAAGCTGTACCTTATTTTCGAGAAATACGTAATAAGGATTGAGGTTATTCGCAAAATAAAAGTCTTACTTTATTGTAAATGGCTTGTTTTATGAAAAGTTGTCCCAATATTTACCGAAAAGTAGATGGAATTTTGAACAGTATGTGTCTAAACAGTGGAAAATGCACCAGCGGCTCGCGTGAGATAGAAAATACTAAAGGCACCAGCGGTCATTGCATATACTTGTAACGACCACCCAATGACGATTCGTCGATTTGGACCACCTCGCCAGGTCCACCCAACATAACATCGTCCAACATTACATTAAATAAAGGTCAACGATCATTTCATCAAATCATCAAAAAACTTGGGATGTTCTTTGTTATGTTTTCATTATTTAGTAATTTGCAACAGCTACTTTTTCAGTTATTTCTCATATATATATATCACATTTAATTAGGTACATTTTGTAACATCAGCTTCACTTTAAATAATTGTTCAAGTACATACAACAAAAAGAAATAGATTATAACTAAAATATTGGAAAAATAATAACCGAAGTACTTTTGTGAAGGGCATAAGGTATCTTTCAAAAAAGTCTCTTTAGCTAACGCTATCGTAGGGTACAAGGTGGATTTAGTACAAGTAAAACCTGCCGGCCACACCTCCAAATCGCATTTTCATGGCAATCCGGTGCCGATTGCACATTTTTGAGCTACTATACGTATAAGTAAGAATTTGATATACCAAATTAAGGTATTACTATCCATGATTTGGCAACATGGCAACGAGATGGAGATAATATGACAGTGACGGTGGTGTAGTGATGGGAAATTATCTGAAATAAAAGTAATGACTACTTAACAATGAACTATTTTCATCATTAAAATAATGCAAAATTGCATTATTACGATGAACAGTATCACAGTAACTTACAGTGTATGTTATATTCATATAATTTTGAACAATCTTTTGTATAAACAAGAAGAAAACAGCTTATAAAGCAGTATTCTATACCACAGTATTAGGACCCAAAACGCAACTTCAACTTTCACAAAGTTCTATAAGATAGCAAGCAGAGGGTTTCTTAAAGAAAAATGATATTTTCGTGCAAGTTACATCCTAATCTTTCATTTTAAAAGAAGAAATGAAATATTTGCGATATGCGCTAAAGTATAGTTCAGCCAAAATAAATATGGGAAAAAATATTTTATTATATAAAAATACTCAGAAATACGTCATTTTTGAGTAAAACAAAATATACGTTCTAAAAACTATGTCGGCCATATGGCGCCCTTGTGCCTAAATGCAGGAATCAAGCCTCTCCCAAAATGAGCCCATTGCGTCGGCCAGCATTCTTGCAGGAATTTGAGTTACATCTCTTCTTATTTCCTCTTTTAAATCGACGGGGGTCCGACGCTTGCTTTGGTAAACTTTTGCTTTCAGGTAGCTTCATAAAAAAATCCCACGTTGGCAGGTCCGGGGAGCGAGGGGGCCATGAATTATCGCCATGACGTGAAATGAGACGTCCTGGGAATTTTTGCCGAAGAAGTTCCATCGAAGTGCGAGCTGTGTAAGATGTTGCCCCGTCTTGTTGGAACCACACTGTTCTGAGATGGACACGTCGACGTCGAAGTTCCGGAAAAAAAAGTTGTTCAGCATGTGGATGTAATGCTCTGAATTCACAGTAGTTGTTTCTCCATCATCCTCAAAAAAATAAGGACTGTTGGGCCTACTGCATACCAAACTGCCACTTCCGGGGTATGCAGACCAATATCGACAATTTTGTTTACAGACATGTAAATGAAACTGTGCTTCATCACTCTAAACAACATCATGTCATTGTTATGCTACTGTTCAATCATGAGCTGGGAAAAATTAACACGTTCTGCATAATCCTCTGGCACAAACCACTTCACTGCCATATCTAGAGGGCCGTCCACACGTCCTTTTTCAGCAAGACAAAGCACATCCCCATATTGCTCGTCGTACTTCGAACTTTCTCAAAAAGCAGGCGTTAATGTTTTGCCATGGCCACCCCGTTCAGCGGATTTAAGTCCCATCTAACATGTGTGGGTTATGAGAGGAAGGATACTATCCACTTTGCACCATTCGCCACAGACTCTGCCATAGCTAATCCACGAAATTCGAGTTGCTTGGAATGAGGTGGCACAACCAGACATCGATCATCTCATGTTGTCGAAGCCTAGATGTATACAGGAGAGTGTACTCAGCTGCAGGGTCGCCCAACACATGATTTTTTTTTCTTGCCGCGAAAATTCCGTGAAAAAGTAATCGTTTTATTACTGATGTAAGACTACCTCATTTCCAAAAAATCAAGTCGTGGAAATTATTTTTCTGGGTGTAACACTTCTAATGTCACTGAGTATATAATAATGTTATACATATTCAGCAATAACCTCCAAAAGTAATCCTTCTTCAGCATGCTATAAGTTTATTCTACGCAGAAGTTGCCACAAGACAAAAGCCATATTGTCGTCGATTAAATGCAAAATAAGCAGACATCTTTGCGAGACACCTCGTCGCAATCAACAAATCAGGAAGGTTGTCTGAAATACAATCCTTTACTTTCCTCGTCATATATTATTAATCATTTTGTCAGATTCTACTACCTCGTATACTAATAGCGTTTCCAATGATATATTCTTTCGTACTATTGCACCTCGCTGCATTTTCTGTCATCGTATGTTCCACTTGGAAGGTTGTTGCAAAGTGCTTTGCACTACATGTAGGTACATGGATCATTTGAGTGTGCACCAGTGATAGATAAGACAGGACGACGAATTTTTCTCCATCTAAGTTGAACTCAGAACCTTGTAAAATGCTAGCAATTTTGAGATAAAAATTATAAAACAACAAATCCAAAATAGTATATGACTATCTAACTTATATTAGCCGTTAGATAATTCAAAAGTAGAGTTATGCCACTAGCCTTAAACTTCTGAACCGAATGAGTTGTTAGCATAGCCAATATGATAATAAATTGTAACCTCATTCAATGTAAAAGGCTTTGTGAATGTTATTAAATGGAATTTTGTAAGAAACATTTTATTAGTCTACCTGCAATTCAAATCGTGCAGGTCATGCCAAAAGACAAATGTTCTTCTCATATAAGGAGGTTTAGTACTTCCTAAAGGATTTAGGTTTTAAAAATACAGTTTTCTATGAAGCATTTGAGAAAATCAATAAAGCTTTTTTCTATTTTCAGGCAGTGGCAGTTCCCGCGTGGCCGGTCCCGGTCTGATGTTCGGTCTCCACCATCCTGCCCATCACCCGCAGGACGCGGCCGCAGCGGCTGCAGCAGCTGCAGCTGGTCTGCACCACCACCATCAACCACGAGGTCCAAGCTTGAAGGAGGAACCCATGCCTTCAGCTAGGTCGTGGATGCAAACCGCTGTTGCCGATCAGAATGGGTAAGAATAAATTTTACTTTGATGAAATTTACAAACTATAGACACCGCCCAAAGGCTCAAAAAAGCGGCGCCAAATGAAAAATGTATGTATGGTTGGTACCTATATTGCTGAAAAGCAATCATAATATATTAATTTCTTTGAAGTTTAGGCAAATTCAGGGAAAACCGAGTGCATTCAAAATATAAGCACCTCGAAATAGTTTGTCTAAATATTAACTGAGAATATACAGGATGCCAATCTCCGGGGAGCATGGTACACCTGTCAGTTGAAATTTGTAAAACAGTCGATATTCCATCTATAGGTATGTATTGGCATTTTCACCCAAATCGATATGTATACATCACTTATATGTTAAATTGGAATAAAGCAAACAATTTTATGCAGTTACGTTATAGCTATTACATAAGTATTTTGTAAATTTTTTACTCGCCCACAATCCTATGGACTCTTCATTTATTTGTCCTCTATAAAATTGTATGTGTAATGAATGTGTATTTTGAGGACAAATTAATATTTCACTATCCATATTATTTACCACAGGATAAATTTCAGGTATAACTTTACTTGTAGAATATTTAGATAAATAAAATATTTTATACGCAAATTTTATGTTTACTTCCAACACGGTGACCTTTGGAAACCTATACATTTCCAGAAATTGTTGATTATTATAGAAATCAATATGGTTTTGAATGTCCTTGATGTATTTTTTGGATACACGTTCCCCGTTAGCTTCTTCAGTGAAATCTGGAAAACAAAATAAACCTTTGTTTTCCATATTATTAAAATACGAATGGGCTAAAATACACACAAAGATGCGCCCAAGAACCAAAATTATCACCGGAAGAGATAATTGTTTAATGTTCAAGTCCTAAGAATTGAACTAAACTAACACGCATGCTCAGACCGCTCAAACATGTCAAACGTAGGGCTGCCACAAACATTTAAATTTCTCTGTGATTGCGTTGTTGGCTACAAATTTCACACTGCAAATGCATTATTATTTTGCAATGCCTACCAACATTTAAAAAAAAACTTCCCAAAATGATCAAAATGGATTGATATGGCTAGAAAAGAAAAATCTTTTTGACGTCGATGTTGGCTTGTGATCACAACTGCTACAGCCTAGTGTGGAATGCAAATATTATATCCCCCCTCGAACGTTCCTCAAGGTAGCGTTATTATCACAATGTTTATAATCCGACTAATCACATGTGCTATAAGATAACCAAAGCATTGTAACTGTACCGAAATTACTGAAAAATCATCTCATTATTGGACTGATTGAGTCGTCATCATAACAAGAGCATTGCGACCATTAAAACCACAACGATTCCTACTGGCCATAAAATAAATAGCTCGTTTATGCCGCGGTTTTTGTCGTAAATCAGCAGCCGTTGCCGTTGGAGCCAAAACAGTATTTCAATATAATCACTCCGGAATCAACCCCCGACGCCCGTTAGACTGCTGTACTGCTCGTTATATACAACCGGGGAGATCAGACAGTGCCGTACGCTAGGGAGAAACAGAGGGTACCGTTTTCCTTAACGGACATAAAATGTTGGACATCCTGCAAGAGGAATCGAATAGCAATCGTCTGTTATACGCGTCAGTTGACTACATGCACAGTCGAGCAGCTTAGAATACTTAGCACTTAAACATATGAAAAAACAATTACAAGAATTGGATACTTTCTGCCATATTAATATTGAAGGCCATTAATAACTCCACATCGCTTCCTAACCTAGAAGATTCTTTTTGTCTTTTTGGTTTCTCCATTCTTTCTTCTCTTCTTTTTTATCTTAACCATGAGTACATTCAGGTAAGCGAGGGCCGTAATATACACTATGAGATTTGATACGGAAAATTTTGTAGAACTAAAAACATGGCAAAAGTAAGTAAGGTTCAGTAAAATGAAAACGGAGTTTTGCCATGTTACTGGTTATAAAAATTTAACATACCTGTCGCAGCGGCTTTATGTTGCATCGAAGAAGTCTTGGAACAGCTTTGACAGTTCGCAGCATTTGCTCAACAATTTGTCTGATCTGATACCCGATTAATAATTGCTGCCAACTACTGCAGTATGTCATAAAAATGCACTGAATGTACTCATCGTTTGGATTCTGGTTTACGCGAACTATCATTCTGGCGGAATGGTAGTAGCACAGGTACATTTTGATCCCTTCTGGGAATCTGGTTGAGCCTTAACATTTGCATATTTAGAATGATTTTGTGTATGATCCTGAGGATTTTCTTTAGGATCCTGCCCTGAGAAAATTTGCTACCCTACTCTTCCAACATTTTTCGGAAGCAGGTACACCTTCACAAAAAATTTTCTGTCCAAGAGAAAATGCTGGATATTATTTTCAGGTTCTCAAGACGCCAAATATTCTAAAATGGCCGCTAGTAATTTTTTTTTTCTAATTGGAATATTCCATATCTGATTACATATTCTATAATCTATACCATTTCAATATATATATATATATATATATATATATATAGATGGATCAGACTTTATATAGCGTTCTGATGGTTTTAAGGTACTCATCAAAATGAGGTATCACGTGTTTCTCATACCGCTAAAAAATATTCAAGGATAGCGCTTAGCCGTCTTCTCAACTGCCACTTTTACGCTAAAGTATAGTATCTTGTATGAACTTCGTCACCCAGAATCTGAGCTTACTAACTTAACCCGTTCAAGAAATAAGTAGGGGGAAGGCTTTTTCAAAAGCACTGTATACTACTATTTTTCAATCGACGAAAGCTTTTCCGAACCACCAGCTAAATTTACAAATTAAAACAAAGCCAACCGTTGTTAACGTGAAAGCTACAAAACTTCGTTTCTTCTTCTTTATAATGGGTGATTCATTTACAGGTACTTTTTTCAGCAACGAGATAAAATAACAAAATTCTGTTTATTCTCAAATCTTTTTTATTAAAGAAAAGAACTATTTTTGACATTTATTTTTTAAATATTATTTCTTTCAAATGTTGGCCCTGACTGCGGTTGAGATGGTCCATTCTAAAGTCCCAATTTTCGATGACACGTTGGAGCATTTCGACTGGAATTTGGCGAATGAACTGCGTAATGTTGGCTTCTAATTCCTTAATCGTATTGGGCTTATCAATGTAGACTTTGGACTTAACGCAGCCCCAAAGGAAGAAGTCTAGAGGTGTGATCTCACATGATCTAGGTGGCCAATTCACTGGTCTAAATCGTGAAATTAAGTGATCATCGAAATGTTCTCGCAATAAAGCCATGGTTGCAAGGGCTGCGTGGCAATTGGCGCCGTCTTGTTGGAACCAAATGTCATCGAGATTACGGGCTTCAATTTCAGGCAGCAAATAATCCGTTATCATGGCGCGGTAACGAGCACCATTCACAGTTACGTTCTGACCGGCCTCATTTTTAAAGAAATAGGGACCGATGATTCCACTGACCCATAAACCACACCAAACCGTTGTTTTCGCTGGATGTAATGGCAGCACTTGAACCACTTCGGGTTGTTCTTCACCCCAAATACGACAGTTTTGTTTATTAACGTAGCCGTTAAGGCAAAAATGGGCCTCATCGCTAAACAAAATTTTGCTCGAAAACATCGGATCTTCTTCAGGCCGTGCAAACGCCCAAAGACTGAAACGACGATGCTTTCTAAGGTCCGCTGGCTTCAATTCTTGAACGAGTTGAATTTTGTATGGTTTCAAATTAAGATTCTTATGTAAAATACGCCAAGTTGTTGAATACGACAAGCCAAGCTGTTGAGAACGGCGCCGAGTCGATTCTTCACGGTCCTCACGTATACTATCAGCTATCGCAGCTATATTTTCTTCACTGCGTGCTGGATATGGTCTATCCGCCGTGCGGCGAATTGTGCGTTCGGTGGGCCGATTATGTACACCACAAGTTGCTCTAAGTGCATGAAACACACTTCTCGCAGAACGTTGATTTTCGTAGTACAGCTGAATATTTGTAGACGCTGTGGTGGACTAAGTCTTTCCATGATGAAATGCCGAACAATACTGAAACAGAAAATGTTAAATTAGTTGTCATGACGCATGCGCCATAAGCAATTACAGCCACACCAAAAAAGTACCTCTGAACGAATCACCCGTTAGTCGTAGTCACGTACCATACGCCAATGATATCGTATTGACTGATCTGGGATAAATGACCGAAAAAGTGACATTATCTGAAATGTAAATACCATAAAAACCCGCTAACTTTGGCGCGAATAATTGCCCCAAAGCCCCTAACGCAAAAATAAATTGCTCGCCGAATACAAAAAAGTGTACATACATATGGTGGGGGTAGATTGCTGCTTGTACGCACACAATGTTATATACACGTATTATACACGTATTAGGTTATGCCGAAAAAAACAAAAAAGCGCTATTTTATGGTGTGGCTGAACAAGGGGTTCAGGGTTTGACCAGAAAGAGTATAACACACGCGGAAGCACACGATTTGGAATAATCGAACTTCTAAATATATTTAGGTGTCTGCTGAAGAAATGAATAGTTTCCAGGCGTGTTTTTAAAGTAAGTACCGTTTTTAAATTACGCCGCCGCAGCGCTGCGGTTGGCGTGTAGCGCATGCGCGTCGTGTAGCTACATCTTTTGTGTCCACCCAACAGCTGTAATTTATCTGGGATTTACTACATGCAAAACAATTTTAATAAAAATTTATCATTCTGGCTTAAACTTGCTTCGGTTGAGGAGACATTACCTCGATAATAAACGGTCAAATGCGTATGGCTGCGACAATATCTGCGCATTCGTGGTACAATTATGCTCTCCTGGTATCGCTATACGTATCCTGCATATTATGAACTGAGATATTGAAACTGAATCTTTTTTTACTATCTGGAAGATCTTTTTAACCTCCACTTAAAAATAGTATTCCGACCTTGAGAAGGTGACACAGCCCCAACCAAATAACTACCTAGTTCTCAATCACATAATACCTCGTTTTCAGTTGGGTTTTCGAAAGCAACATATCT